CATACATGCCACCTCTCACCACTACCAACCACTGCTTCCAAGATCAAACAACATTCTGCAATTCCAACCTTTGGCAATGTCCCCAGAACAGGACCCCTTAAATCCTCCTTTTCATTTATTTATTGAATGTTGTTGTTGTTATGTGCCGTGGAGTCGGTTCTGACTCATGGCAACCTAGTACAGGGTTTCCGAGGCTATAAATCTTTATGGGAGCAGAAAGCCTCATCTTTCTCCTATGGAACAGCTGGTAGTTTCAAACTGATGACCCTAAGGTTCGCAGCCTGATTCGTAACCACTACACTACTAGAGCTCCTTATTTATTGAATGTGTTGTTGTTGTTGTTCAGTGCCGTGGAGTCGGTTCCGACTCATAGCGACCCTGTACAGGGTTTCCGAGGCTGTAAATCTTTACAGGAGCAGATAGCCTCATCTTTATCCTGCGGAACCACTGGTAGTTTCGAACTGCTGACCTTGTGGCTCACAGCCCGATTCGTAACCACTATGCTACCAGAGCTCCTTATTGAATGTAGCAGACACTACATTAGGCTTTAGGAGATTGTGATGAACAATATGGGCATGGCTTCTTCCTACAAGGTTCTCACAGAACTAAGAAGCATTGTTGGTTCATAAAATGAGTTGTTCACATAAACCCATCACAGAGACTCTAAATCATTGATGTGTTGTAATATATAAAATAGGCTGGGACTGATTTGGATTAAAATCTTTGTTTAGGTTCTGGGACCTCACAGGTGCCCTCATGACTGAGTTCTGCATCAGACTGTAAGGAGCTAACCTTGCCACCTGGTAAGCTTCTTGGGAGCCATGCAGAATCCTCCTCTTATCAAATGGGGTTTGGGGAACTGTCAACATGGGTAGCTATGGCAGGAGAGCTCAAGGCTACTGGAAGGTTGCTGTGTAGCTACTGTCTGGGAGTTCAGCTTATGGTCTGTGTGCTTTCACCTCCCAAACGGAATCTATTGGCCAATCTGAAGGATGGCCTTGCTGGGATGGCAGATCTGCCTGGATCAGGTGGGGGTGCTCCTGGATCCGCCCCATCTCTGGAACACTTTGGGTCCATGAGTACCTACTTTGTCACTAAACCAAAAGACCAATCGAATTTCAAAAGGTATCAGGAAAATGTTCTGTCAAGTCAACAGAAGTTGTAGTTGAAGAGGCACCTGGAAAGCTCTATACAAGGGGGCTTCAAAGAGTTCATGGAAAAACAGTGGAATGGAAAGATAACAAGATTTTTCCAAGAACTTCTTGAAGCCCCTTCATATTTGCAGTGCCCTTTTCAGCACAAATCAGAAGATAGGCTGGTTCTGTTCCTACCATGGGTTTGTTTTTTGGGGGGGAGTGGGGGTAGGGTGGGGTGGGGTGGGGAGTTACCAGGATTTGTCCACTTAAAGTGTCACATATGGGCTTCCCAAAGTGATTCAGATAACCATGGAATTCCTCTGTGCTTTCATTGCATACACTTCCAAGGTAACAATCGATCACAATATAATGTAATCTCCTGTTTCCCTAAAAAGTTGCAAAGTCTTCAAAGGTACTTGGTGTGTTTTCAGTATCAGCATGCTTCTTGGGAATCTCTCAGAACAAATGTATTTGACTTAATTAATTTATTCTCTCTCTCTCTCTCTTTTTTTTTTTTTTTTTTTCTCTCAATCTCTAAAGTACTTTACACAGGGTCTTTAAACAAAGAAAGGTCTCAACAAATGCTACTGACTGAACTGGAGATTAGACTCTGGGAGTTTCATCTATCACTCTCATCTAGATGGAAAGTATGGAGTCTGTGAGTGATGACTAGGCCCACCTCTAGGGATGCCCAGCTACATGTTGCAGCTTTAGGGAGGCTTCTCATTATTCTCTTGCAAGTCCCGTTGGGTGTCTCACACCACACATAGTATATGGTGGCCATTAGTACAAAGTTGCCAGTTGAGACAGAGTCCCACACTTTACCCTCTCTCTAAAGAACCTTCCTCAGTATTTGCAGGTCAGCTTTTGCCCCAGCCTCCCCAGACTGAGTGAGCACTTGAGAGCTACCATACCAGAGTGGTGAACTTGTCCACACAGGCATTGCGAATCTTCTCCGGAGTGGCAGGGCTGTCTAGTTGGAAGAGTTTCTTCGTATTATTGTCGGCATGCTGAGCTCGAGCTGCATGGATGGCATCTTTGATAGCAAAGAAGATGGAGGCAGCCAGGAAGAGTGGTGGTTCCCCTACAGCCTAAACAGAAAGAGCAGGGCAGAGACTCAGGCAGAGTGGTCCCAGCTTCTATATCCCTGTGCAAACAAGTGGCAGGAGCTGGTGGGGCTGGGAGAGACCCCTGCCCAGCACTAACAGGCAAGTCAAGGAAGGCAGGAGGGGTCAGTCAGAATTAAACAGCACTGAGAAGAATCTGTCAAGTGAAGGATCACACCTCACTGGCTTATTATTTTTCATTCTTCTTGCTATGTAATCTTCTCTGAAGACACCTTATAAATATAATGTCTCATTTGAAGTTATAATAAAACAATTGCAAAATACTGAGAAAAATATCTGTTTGGCAAAATTTTCGACTCTTTCTTTACAGTATTTGTTGTTGTTGTTGTTGTTAAATGCCACCGAGTCAGTTCCAACCCATAGCAACCTTGTGTAGGGTTTCCAAGGAGCAGCTGGTATGCCTGAACCACTGACCTTGCATTTCAAACAACTTTGCATTCTGCTGCATTAAGCTAGAGTGCCACAGCAGGACTCCTTACAGTATTTAGCTTAGAGGAACATTCTACTTGCAACTCTGAAAACGCCTACAGGCACCATAATGATACTTCTAGCAACTGCTGGAATCAGAGGCTTAGTGACCAATTGGAATTCAAGTGCCTACTAGCAGAGTTTCTTTACTTATTTTTCCCCCTCAGAGGATGGACTGGGAACCACCTGAATCAGAAGACTAGAAATATTTATTGTAAGTGTGGGTTCCAGAGCCCTACTCCAGATCTACCAACTCAAAATCCTAGGGGTTAGGCCTGGAGCTGCATTTTTATCATGAGTCCTGGTGATTCTTCAGTGGATTCCAATAGGTCCCAGCTCCTCACAAATAACATAAATCAAAAGATGAGCAAATGAGTGTGTTTTATTGTATCAATCAGCTGAATTATTTTTCAGCCATGTTATCCTAATGTTCCTGGTATGATGATCAAGTCTTAAGGTCAGGCCTAGGAACTGAAGGGGGTGAACGGGTGTGTACAAAGGGACTTGCCCATCTGCAGTGAAGGAGATGCACTGATTATAATGGGACAACAGGAGAGCTGTCTCAGTAAAATCATCTCTCAGGGTCAAGCATCAGGGAAATGGGTGGGGGCCAGAGTTCGACCTTCAGGATCGGGCTTAGGAATCTGAGTCTACTTATGGGAACCATGGTATCTTCAACCCAATTCAACTGGTTCACAGGCAGAACTACCCACCTCTTCACCACCTTCACCAAAGCTAGTGTAAGCCCTCATCTTTCTTCAGGAGAATCCCGTTGTAGACCCGAGCCCCTCATACCCCTCATTGACTTCCCACAGTACAGAGTGCAAAGCAGCCCAGACCCCGAGTGACAGTACCTTGGATGCATAGATGGCTTTCTTGTTGGGACAGTCACGGAGGAGGGTCACCCGAAACTCAGTGGGGATGCTGCCAAATGCAGGGATCTTGTAGGTGCTTGGGCCTCGGGTGTGCAGGCTCCCCTCGGGGGAGTAGTGCAACTCCTCCAGGGTGAAGAGGCCAAGGCCCTGCACAAAGCCCCCTTCCACCTGCAGGGTAGACGAAGATCATGCTCAACCTGCCTCCCTGCTCCTCAAGGACAGATGCTGCATCCCAGACAGGTGCAAAGCCCTACCTTCTTGGGAGGGACCTTCCCTAAAAAGGAGCTAAAAGGTTCCCTCTCAGGTGTTCCTGCCCTAGCCCCAGGAACACCTGTCTGGACCTTCACTGTGCATTGGCTCAGACAGAGAAAAGGCATTAACAAGGAAGATCAGTTCAGAACAGGTCAGCAATTCTAGAAGAGGCCCACCATGTTACAGGGCAAATGGAGAGTTTTTTTTACCCAAACTGAAATGTAAGCTCACAATGTTACCAGCACTGCCCCTCAGGGATCACATTTCCTCCTGTGCTTTGGATGAGATCTTAGACCTTTGGGTGGCCCAAGAGAGGAATACTATCTTAGGTAGTAGATTCTTTTGGACTTTCTTCGGGACATTTTGAACTCCCACCCCTATGTGTCTACTGGGAGAAAGAATGCCTAATGATACCTTCTAGACTTCTAGTGGAACACTGCAATACTCTACTGGTTTGCAAGTGTGCTCACCCACTACACTGCTCCAAGAATGGGAAGGTGGCACCCCAGGAGACAATGCACTCAGGGGAGGGGCTGTGAGCTAATCATCTTTGAATCCTTACTGCTAGCTACCTGCCCCTATGGGGTCTGCCCATAGAAGTTCTACAAATGGTTGTTGAATGATGAACTAATCAATCAGTGGTAGGGCTTCTGAGCACTCAGTAATGCAATAGTTTTGAGAAATACAATCTATATTCTCTACCAAAATCTCAGTACTTCAACTATTTATTCTTTCCGCTATATTCTCCTGCTCTACATTCTCAATAGTCTCATATTTTCCCAAAATGATTTTCTGTGGTTCATGCCTTTACTCCACCTGCTCTATATCCATGTTTTTTTGCCCTAGTGCCCTTCACCACACCACCCATGGTAGCATACGCTTCGTATAGTACAAAAGTAGCCCTGTATGATAAAGGAAGTGGGAAGAAGAAAACTTGTCTGACTTCAGAACTAACTGCTTGGATATTGATCCCAAACTTGATCGCCATTCTGCTCACTCTCAAAAGTGTGTGTGTGTGTGTGTGTGTTTCCAATGATTTCACCATTCATCATGTTGTCCTAGGAGGTGTGAGTGCCCTTTCCAAGTGAATCCATATTAATTTGTCTTTTGCCTCAAGAGCTGGGTGAGCTCATCTATCTAAATCACACTCTATAGGAGACTCATTTGGTACCACTTTCAGGCCTACTTAAAACTGCTCGGACAACATGCCATGCCCACTGATCCTTGGAGGGTGATGGGGCATGTCAGGGACAAGGCATCACCACCCTGATCCCCATGAACCTTACCTGCCCAATATCAATGGCAGGGTTCAGACTGTTGCCAACATCCATGACGATGTCTGTGTGGAGGTTCTAAAGTTTGATGAGAAAGAGAAGTTGAGATGATTTATGAGTCTTGGTGACCCTTAGGCTTTAAGTGTCAATCCAAATGGCACTTTCATATCAGAGCTCTAGGCACCACTGCCACTGTCACTGCTGAAGTGCTGGTTCTTAGTAGCAGGGAGGTGAAGAGGAGCAGCAACCCTCCCTCAGTACTGTGAAGTAACTATGCCCTGAGTTGTAATGGTGGGTTCATAGGACTTGGGGCTTGGATCTGAGTCTGAATAGACCATGTGAGGAAAGGGTCATCAAACTATGGCCCGTGGGCTAAAATTCAGCCTGCTGCCTGTTTTTTTAGAACTCGAAACTGCGAACCACAAGGTCAGCAGTTTGAAAATACCAGCTGTTCCGCAGGAAAAAGATGAGCCTTTCTGCTCCATAAAGATTTTCAGCCTTGGAAACCCTGTACAGGGTCGCTATGAGTCGGAACCAACTCTATGGCACATAACCACCACCAAACTAATTAAAGTAGCCCTGGTGGAGCAGTGGTTAAGCACTTGGCTGCTAAGGTCATTGGTTTGAACCCACCAGCTGCTCTGTGGCAGTCTGTTTCCTTAAAGACTTTCAGCCTTGGAAACCCTATGGGGCAGCTCTACTCTGTCTCATAGTGTCGCTATGCGTTGAAATTGACTTAACAGCAATGGGTCAGGTAGCTAATTTTGTTTTTGTTTTCATTATTAAATAAATGGTTGGGGGGAAAAAATAAAAAGAATATTTTGTGACAGTTGCAAATGATATGAAATTCAAATTTTAGTGTCCACAATGACATTATTATAGCACAGCCTTGCTTATTTATATACATACTATCTACAGCTGTTTTTATACCACAATAGCAGAGTTAAGGAGCTGAGATCACATGGCCCACAAAGATTACATTATTGACTATCTAGCCCTTTACAGAAAAAAATTTCCAACCCCTGCTATGAGGCATGATTTTCCCAAGAAGACATCTGGTCTCCCTAGTAGTTCTTAACAGTACAATTCAGTTGTTCCTGTAGTCTTTCTCCCCCTTAATACGAAGGTTTTTCCAGCTTCTTACCTTATGATCCCCTGTCAGGCAATCAATCTCCACTTCCGAACAAGCCACCCCATAGGAGAAGTAGTGGAAAGGGTTCCCTGAGTTTGTCTCAAAGCTATAGCCAAGGTTGGGTGTTCTGGGGGAGAAGAAAGAAAATGTTATATACATATGAAGAAGATATGCACATCACACACACACAACCTGTCCCACAAATTTTGAGACCCTAAAACATTTATTTATTGGTCATTCAGCTGTTTTCCAACCAAGTCCACATGTTTGGGATATTCTGAACCTGTTAATAACACCTACATTGTTGTTGCTATGTGCCATGGAGTTGGTTCCGACTCATAGCGACCCTGTACAGGGTTTCCGAGGCTGTAAATCTGTATGGGAGCAGAAAGCCTCATCTTTCTCCCGCGGAACAGCTGGTAGTTTCAAACTGCCAACCTTGAGGTTAACAGCCCAATTCGTAACCATCGCGCTACCGAGCTCCTTAACACCTACATAGTCCAGGACATTTTGTCGCTTGTCTGTGCTCTGTTTTGTCAGTGGTCCTTACGGTGAATCATTCGGAATAGCCTAGTGCTGTTTAGAATCAAGTGTGCTGGTCTCCATGTGGTAGTAATGGAGATGGCAGATTTGCCTGAGCTTACAGAGGACATTAAAGTCACTCTTCAAAGAATCTACTGAAGCAGAAGCCAAGGACTTCAGAACCTAAAATTCTGCCTGTAATAGTTCCTGGGTTGTTCACACAACTGCTCATGGAGCTGCTCCCCATTCTCAAGGGGAAAGTTAACAAGATCATGTCCATCTCTGTGCATTTTTAAGTTGCCCACCTTCCCACACTGCTCCCCACCTATTGGTCCCTTTAACACTGCAACAAATGATTTGAGAAAAATCTTATTATAGAAACAAAAATCTTATGAATAGAATTTTAAAGTTGCAGAAGGTATGAGAAACTGCTGACTTCTCCAACTGAAGCAAAACTACACATTAAGACCAGAGCTACAACACTTGACTTCTGATAGAGTGTTTCATACTTTTGCCTCCAAGGCATATTATTGAATAACCTCACATATTTTAGAGCATCTTTAAAGGAGATTGGTTGTCCCTTATAGATTTATTTTCAATCTTGAGTACCCTCTGCAATTCTAATTTTTCATGAACCATGTTTTTGTGTGTGTGCATTTATACATCCAGAGATTATAATACACTCTATCTACGTAGGAGCCCCTGGGTGGTGAAAACTGAAAGGTTGGAAGTTTGAGTGCACACAGAGGCACCTTGCAAGAAAGACTGGATGACACACTTCCACAAAATCAGCCACTGAAAAGCCTGTAGAGTGCAGTTCAAATCTGACACACGTGGGATCGCTGAGTCAGAAATGACTCAGTTTAAAATTAGTTGGTTTGGTATCTGTGTTATTTCATATGTTATAAAAATAAAGAGCTGATACCATCAGAATCTTTGTGAAAACAAAACCAATACAGGGCTAAGAGGAAAATTCTAGGAGAATCACCTCTTTTGTTAGCTCTGACTTAACTGTGTCTGTCCCGGCCCTATCTTTACATAACTTCAGTTTTATATAATTCCAAAAGTGGAATACAAGCTTACTAGATGATAAGAATTTTGGGAAATGTAGGTCAAATATGGAGTCCTGGTGTGGCACTGTGGGTTAATGCGCTGAACTGCAAAGTTGGTTTGAAATGCAAGGTCAGCGGTTCAACCTCACCTGCCACCAGCCACTCCTCAGAAACCCTATACAGGATCGCTATGGGTGGGAACTGACTCATCAGCACTTAACAACAACAGGTCAAATATATAACCCCATGAGCATTGGCTAAACATTTCTTTGCCTAAAACATATATGCACATTCATACATTCACACAAAACCTTTCTAAGTAAACATGAAACAATTTTCCTAATCCAGTGATTTGTGAATTAAAGGTCTGGTGTGGTGCTGTAGGGCATGTACTGGACTGCTAAGTGGAAGGTAGGCAATTCAAACCCACCCGCTGCTCCTCAGAACCTGTACAGTTGTTGTTGTTGTTGTTATGTGCCATCGAGTCGGTTCCGACCCATAGCGACCCTGTATAGGGTTTCCCAGGGTATAAATCTTTACAGGAGTAGAAAGCCTCATCTTTCTCCCGCGGTGCAGCTGGTAGTTTCAAACCGCTGACCTTAAGGTTTGCAGCCCGATTCGTAACCACTACGCTACCAGAGCTCCTTACAGTAGTGATCTATAAAATAATAGGGCCTACTTAAATTCCCCAGAGAAAGATAAATTATGACCAACAGCAAAATGATCATATCTTTTTACCACTTGTAAGTCAGATGGACTCCTGATGTGATGCTGTAGAGTCAACACTGGACTTCAAACCACAGGTCAGCAGATCAAACCCACCAGCTGCTCCTCAGAAACTCTATGTTGGTGTTGTTGGTGTTGTTAAGTGCCGTTGAGTCAATTCTGACCCATAACAACCCTGAATAGCGTTTCCAGGCAGCAGCTAGTAAGCAGTTCAAACAACTTTGCAGTCTGACGCATTAGCCCACAGCGCCACACCAGGACTCCTCAGAAACCCTATACAGGGTTGCTATGAGTCAGACCCAACTCAACAGCACTTAACAAGTCAGAGGGGCAGCATCTCTGCCTATGTTGCTACTGAATTTTAAAGCTGCAGACGGCATGAGAAACCATTGACTTCCCCAAATGAAGCAGGAAGTGCACATTAAGACCAGAGCTAGAACATAAACTTCTGATATAGCACTTCATGCTCTTGCCTCCAAGGCATATAATTCAATAATCCCACATATTTTAGAGCATCTTTAAATGGAAATTGGTGGAAGTCCACTGGAGATATAAGTCTTGAAGGAACTGTTCTCCCCTGATGACAGGCTAGGATGACAACACACTTTCCATGTCTCTAGGAGAGATGGGCACGAACAACACCACACTTACTTATAAAAGCCAGTAGCAGACAAGCTCACTGCACCCTCATAGGCAGCTGTGACCTGAGGGAGAAGAAACGACCATCAGGAAGGGGCAGAGGTCTCAGGGAGCATGGTTTTCTGAAACCCTGGCCCACCATTTAGGCTTTCATGGGTTCGCCCTACTTGTCTAGAAGTAGAACAACTCCCTTTTTTTTCTAGTGACTTCCATATTTTACCTCCCATCTCACTGCCAGCAGCTGTACTACAACCTCATGCTCTGAACTACTACAATAGTTCTTAACTGGTCTTCCTGCCTCAAGCCCACCATGTAAGCCATCCTACACCCTACAGCCAGAGCATCATCTTAGCCTACCACACTGCCCATGCCATTGCCCTACTCTAGAGATTTCAATGACTCCCCAATGCAAATGCTCCTTTCTGTGACCTATGAAATGATCCAGCCCATCTGTCAGTGTGGCCCAAACTCACTACAACAGCTCTCCACTTCTCTTTGCCTTTGTGACTAGATATGCGACTAGATCTGGGTAGCGACAGAGACCCCGCTATGAAAGGGAAAGATGGGGCCCAGGTCCAGTGAAGACCTCCCATTTGAAAAGGTGACTTGGATTAGCTCAGACTTACCCAGTCTTCCCAGGAGCCATTGGGATTCTGTTTCTTGAAAGGCTCCAGTCTTTTCAGAATGGTTTGACAAGCCTCCTAAAGAGAATGCCCACCACACACCAGACACATCAATTCTCTACAACCCATAGCCCAAGTAAACTCCCAAGGGACTTAGCAAGGCCATCTCCAAGCAATGCTGTGCCCCAATGTGACTCAGACCTCCTCGCTACCCTCCCAGGAATGATGAGTCAAGAGTAGAAGACACAGTGCTCTGCCAAAGGGGCCACCACTGAGCCTTGCTTGGAGAACACTTCCTGATCTAGTTTTCAGACTGACAAAGGACCCGACGCATCGGGGACTGTACAGAGGAGCCTCCTCTTATTGAACTCCCTTGTTTGATTCCAGCCACACATGTGTGAAGTGAAGGAAGAGTCTCAGACCTGGAAGATCTTACAACCACAATTTCAATTTCATTTTCTTGTGATTTCAAGCTCTTTCTCTTGTGATCACTTCTAACATCAGAGTCTGTCTTCCAAAAAGCCCCTCCTTTATCTCCACCACTCCAGCTTTCTCTTCCCTCCTCTTTCACTGATCTTTCTGACTTTGATGAAAGTATTTAGGATTTCTGAGTCTCTCTTTGAGCATGGAGTTTGGAAGGACAGCAAGATAAAAGAGCCAAATGCATGGCCATAGCCAGAGAGCATGCAAGGACCATTCCACCACCATGTGGAGGACTCTTCCCACCCTAAGCCCGCAGCTCTGTGTCTCCCACAGGCTCCTTACATAGACGGCCTGTCCATTGATATCAGTGCTAACGGATGCAGCTGTAGGAGAGGCGTTGGGCACGGTATTAGTGCTCGTCTCACTGATGTAAATCTTAGAGGTGGGGATTTTCAGAGTTCTGCTGGCCACCTGCAAAAAGAAAATTCATCACCCTCTAGGGATGGGATCATCATGGGGTTTGGCTGTCTTCTACCCAACACAGCATTCCAGTTCACTGTTACAGGCAAGAAAATAACTTTGTAAAATATAATTCTACTGAGGCTGGGGTGTTCTTACAACTTGTTTTTGTTATGTGCCATGGAGTCGGTTCCGACTCATAGCGACCCTGCACAGGGTTTCCGAGGCTGTAAATCTTTACAGGAGCAGACCGCCACATCTTTCTCCTGCGGAACTGCCGGTAGTTTTGAACTGCTGACTTTGCGGCTTGCAGCCCGATTCATAACCACTATGCTACCAGAACTCCGTTCCTACAACTAGCAGAAGGTAAAGCAATGGTTTGGCTGACGTAAAAAAAAAAAATCATAAACCTAGTCATGACCAATAATACCTTTTAAGCTAATTGTGGCTTTAAAATCCAATTGGGACAATCCTCATGAGCCAAGTAGATATGCCAACTCTATCCCATAATCCTGCCTCCAATGTGAGAAGCCTTATAGTGGGAATGCATTAGCTGTCTTTATAAATAGAATTATCCACCTTACACACAGAGGCATAAAACCCTAGAATGTTGGGAACAGAAGTGACCTCAAAGATCACTTGGTCCATCCCTATGAATAGGTGAGAAAACCAAGCATAAAGGGGAAGGGATTTGCCTACAGTCATGCCTAATAAGGGTCATAGCCCAGGTCATCCTCAGTCTCTCATAGCATAGGCCACAGTGCCAGAGAAGACTACCATAGTTCCCTGGCTCCTCCCTGAACTCTGTCTGCTCACCTGGACCATCTTGGTGTGGAGGCCTTGGCCCATCTCAGTGCCTCCATGGGTCAGCAGCACAGAGCCATCTGTATACACATGCAACAGAGCTCCTGCCTATAGGAAGAGAACTGTGTCAGTTAAGATTCAACAGTTACTTAACTCAGTTCCCAGTTCCTAAGCTTAACTATGCAAGGCTTGGAACCAAAAGTACTAGAACCCAGGAAAATAAAAACAGTAGCAAAATTTTAGATATATACCCTGGAAAATTAAATCTTGTTATTTAATTTAAATCTTGCGATTCAAATTCTAATTTGAAAAGTGCTTTAATATATATATTTTTTCTCTCTCTCTGTTTCTTATCCTCAAAGGAAAATGGGTCAAATATCATTATCTTTACTCTAAAGATGAAGAAACTAGTGCAGAAAGGCAGAGTAGCTGTTCATAACCTTACAATCAGAAGGAATAAGAGCTAGATGTTAGCTCAGATCGCCAAGTTCCGTGGTGCTTCCGCTGTTCTGTGATAAGACTATTAGAGAAATTGGAACATGAAAGCTCAGCTTCCTTTTAAACAGCAAGCAGCTCCCCAGCCAGTACTGTTACCAGTCACAATGGAGTTTCATATGTGATACTATAAACAAGGGAAAGATGGGGCTCTGGTCCAATGAGGACCAACAACATTTGTGAAAATAATCATTTTGAAGCAATTACCTGGTTCAGAAAAGACAATGTGAAGCTTATTCCAAACTTGGTAGGAATTATGCACAATCCTCTCTTTTTCCAACAATTCTCTCTGGAGAAAAAAAGAACATTCTCATAGGACATTTTCTATCATATTTATGTCAGATTGGACATTATCTTACTCAACATCTTTGCATCAAATCGGAGCAGGAGATCCTTGGAGCCATCCATGTAGCCATTGCTAATAAATGAGCAGTGCCCAAGTTGCATAGACACAAATGAGAAAGGAAGGGATTGGGATTCTGGATCATCCAGTTCACCAGAAGAGGGACCACACCTGAGTCAGCACGGTCTTTCCAGAGTGGAATTTGGATTGGGCCACAGCAGCCTGGTCATCTTGGACTGTCATCATCCCTACTTTTAGTTGTGACTTGCTGATGGTAATGCTACCTTTTCTATGCTTTGTATTTGGTTATTGGAGTAACTGTGAGGAAGATAGAACCAACAGCATTATCCCTACTTTGCTAGTGATGAAACTGAGTCCCAGGGAGATGAGCCAATTACATATGTCACAGTTAGAGCTTAGTGAAAGAGTTAGGTATATCACTGTGCTGTTTTGGGTCCTAGACTTTCTCTTTGTAATATGGAATGCCCAGAAGGCATACAAATCTACAAAGATAAACCACAACTAATAGGCTATATAATTCTAAGCTTAGAGTCTGAACACTCTGGCCCTGGGCTAAAAATCATTACAGAATCTTCAAGAGATGACTGAGTCAATTGAAAAACTCAGGAGCCTTGTAATTTCTCTACTAAATCATTAGTTTTATATTTTAGGTTCAGCAAAAGGACTGTAGAATACAAAACCCAAGAGAGCACCAAAGCATCGGACCTCTCCCCTCCCAGTGCTTACTTGTTGAATTTCTCAACCTCTTTCCTCCGAGCTTGATACTGAGAACTTGCTAGGCATTCATCCCAGCATCTGGGCAGGGTGAAACCCTCAAGCTTCTGGTTGAAGTGTGTCAAGTCGCCTTCTTTATACATGTTCTTCCTCCGTACCTTTCCAAGGAGAGAGGCACTAAGAGCTTGTTGGTGACAAGGGGTCAGGGGAGGTGCAACCAAAAGGTAAGCCATCAGACCCCTCAACAATGCCTGCACCACCTCCTACCATGAGAGATGTTCAAGATACAAAGCCACTCTTCCCAACATAAGTTAGCCCTTTCAGACTTGTGCCGCCATCAAATCCCCAGCTTACTTCTTCTGCAGGTAGCCCACAGGTCACTGCAACTTCACTCATCCAGTACTCGGCAATGAGCATCCCCTGAGGTCCCCCAAAGCCTCGGAAGGCTGTGTTGGAAGGCAGGTTGGTCTTGCACAGTCGCCCAGTACCCCGGATATTGGGGATTTTATAGCAGTTATCCATGTGGAATAGCGCTCGTTCCATTATCTGAAGTAGAGGACACCAAAATGGGAGAAAACACAGCATTCATTTCATGGCTTCTCCAAAAAGAAACGTCAAGGGATGTACCCACCCCTGGCTTCTCCAGGCCCACTGTCAGTGCTCTTCTTTGGGCTCAGATTACTTCCTCCTGGGAGATTGCACCAGGCTCCCTATTGCATTCTTCAGTTTTTCCTCTAATCTATGCCTTACGGCAAAATATAAATATGAGATCAAGCACTTGCTTAAAAGTGGCATGTATTACCTATGAGTAAAATCCATACACATTTAAGCATGGAATTCAATACATGTGATAATCTTGCCCCAATCTATCATTTTAGCACCTTTTCTGCCTGCATGTTAGTTTCTTTATTACCTTCCTCATCATATCTACTTACTAAAAACCTCATCCAGCTCTTCCCTGAGGAAGCCCTTCCCAGGCTCTCTAGTTGGAATTGATCACTTGCCTCTTTAAACAAAAGTTTGTTTTACTAATTCATTTAAACATTTTTTTGTGTGTGGAAAAATATATAATACCAAAAAATTGCCATTTTAACCATTTTTAAGTGTACAGTTCATTGGCTAGTTACATTCACCAAATGTAATTCACCATATTGGGCAATTATAACCACTATCTACTTTCAAAACTTTTTCATCATACCAAACAAAAACTCAGTGCTCCTTAGGAAATAATTAACTCACCATTCTCTCCAGCCCCCAACCCCTGGTAATCACTAATAAACATTGGTCTCTATGCATTTGCCTGGTCTAGCTATTCCATATCTGGGGAAACATACAGTACTTGTCCTTTTGTGTCTGACTTATTTCACTAAACATAATGTTTTCAGGGCTCTTCATTTTGTGGTATGTATGAGGACTTCATTTATCTTTATGGCTGAATAGTATGCTACTGTACGTACATCCCACATGGTGTTTATTCATTCTTATGTTGGATACTTGGATTGTTTCCTTTTTTTTGCTATTGTAAATAGTTCTGCAAAGAATATTACTGCATAAATATATCTGTGTGAGTTCCTGCTTTTGAGTTTTTTCAAGATATACATGGAGTGGAACTGTTAGGTCATATGGCTAATACTTCATTTTAAGGTAGTTTTTATTTTTACTTTTATTAATGAAATTTTTATTAATAACTGAAAGTAGCATAAAGACTCAAATATTTCTGTAAGTCATGTAATGAAAACTAGCCCCTCCACTTCCTTATATTCTTGCCTAGAACTTCCAGTTCTCATTTCTGATTCTTTATAAACTATTTAGATTTGTTTCCATTATTACTACTTCTTGACTTTTTCAGTTGTAAACCATTATATTGCTTACCAATTGTGAAAAATGAAGAATTAGTGATCTTTCAGGCCTGTTTCCTATCCCAATCCTCGCATTACCAGGGTAAACTAAAAAGTATTGCTAATATGTCCAATTGACATATGAATGAATTTACTCCAAACAAAACATGTTTGAACATGTCTCTGAGGTCAGTAGATGACTGCAGACAAGTTCTCTCAGTAATATATTTGTCTTAACCTCATTTCTGTTGTTTTTGAAGGGTCGTCAAGTTGGTTTGGACTCATAGCGACTTCATCTGTATAAGGTGTCCGAGGAGTGAATGGCGGGTTTGTTCCACTGACCTTGTGGTTATCAATGCAGTGCTTATCCTACAACACCACACCAGGGTGATTGTTTTAAAAAGAACACTTTTGTCCCATAGAAAGAATTATTCTGAAGTGACAGCTGATAGCAAATTTTTAACAATAGTCAAGTGGACATTTCCCCAGAGCATTGAAGATTTGTAATAAATTTGCAGGAATGCTGTCCCACATAAAACAACAGCTTTCAGATGGATCATTTGTTTTAAGGAAGGTTAGGAAGACCTCATAGATGAATTAAAAACAGAGAGGTCAGCTAAGAGGGTAAAGGCAATTGTTTGGGGGGACTCCCAAGGAGTTCTGGTGTAGCACTGTAGGATAACCACAAGGTTGCTTTGAATTGCAAGGTCAATGGTTCAAAACTCACCAGCCACTCCTTGGAAACCCTATATAGGGTTACTATAAGTTGGAACCAACCGCAAGGCACACCACCACCACCATCATCATCGTTTTACTTCTTAAGAGCTTATTTTTAGTTTCGAGCTGTTTGATTCTTGCAGCATCCTGTTCTTTTTTTTTCAAGATGTAATTGTTTATCTCTCTGAGAAGATAGGTGTTATATTTTGCTTAATTGTTTCATTTTCCTTTTAGTTTACTTCCACATGAACAGTCTCTCTTTCCCACAAATTGCTTTTTGTGTTCCTTGATTATTTTAGTCTGAGTTATGTTAGAAGATTTTTATACACCTCAATTAATTATTTTTCTTCTTTTTGCTTTCCCTCAGTACTTTGCTAACTTGTACTTCTCTTTTATTTTGCTTTTTAATGTCTGCCTTCCTCTGCCACACTGTGCATTTCTTTATGTTGCATTCTAGGTACTCAATAAATGCTTGCTAGATTGAATTTAAAAGCTTGTAAAATCTTTACAGATAAGTACTGTATCTTTTCAACCTGAGTTTTCCATTAACACCAAGAAGCATGTGTTATAAAGGTGAGAATAACATGTGTTATACAATGTGAGAACAGCAGTTATATTTCCATTTTGAACACTTTTTACACAAAACCTGAAGTGTGAAGTTTCCTAATTAAGCCAACTTGAGAGCCCCTACCAGAGAGGTTCATTATCTGTCAGTTTCTCGTACTGTGGGCTTGTGTGTTGCTGAGATACTGGAAGCTATGCCACCAGTATTTCAAACACCAACAGAGTCACTCATGCTAGACAGGTTTCAGCGAGCTTCTAAACTAAGATAGACTACGAAGAGCAGCCTGGTGATTCACTTTCAAAGATTAGCTCATGAAAACCCTACGAATTACAGCAGAATATTGTCCAATATAGTACTTGAAGATGAACCCCCTAGATTGGAAGGCATTCAAAATATACAATGACCAAAACAAACAACTGAATCATACCAACAACTGGGAAGATGGCAAAGGAATAGGTAACGTTTGGTCTGTTACTTGAGGAATCAGAGCTGACTTGGTAACAACTAATTACAACAGCAAGGAGATAGGGACGGATGGTATACAAAGGGGCAAATAGTACATTCTGCTTTGCCTGAAGTGTTGGACTTTTTAATAAGAATCTATTCATATATAACCATTAACACTGTAAGGTAAAGGTTTTAAAACTTTAAAAAGTAAGTCACACCACCAAGGTAAATGTGTTGATTTTCACAGTTCATTCTATTTCACCATAGGGCTTTAGATCTTTTTGTAAACAACTAAATATTGTCAAGTTCATCTACAAAATCTATGACCACAACAATGAGGAGTGCATAGCCCCCACTTCTGAATTTACCCTGGTCATTAGTAGTATATTTGTAGGAACATGAACTGCAACCAAATATGAAAGTACACAATAATTGAATTGGATGTTAATCTTCATTTTACCCTAGAAGAAATGACTTTAATGCATAGTATAGGAAGACTTCAATATTCAGGAAAATGGAGCACACATAGTTTTCCCCATTCCTCCTACTAAATACAACTAACAAGGCCCAGATACGATATATAAAATACACATACGAATACTCTGAAAAGTGGACAGAGAAGGCAGGCTGCATGTGGATTTGAGGATTTGAGGAATGACATGAAGATAAATTCCTTAAGAGATAAAGTCTCTTAAATCCCACACTTGGAACAGAAGAAGCTGATGATGTGAAAATGTCAGCAGTGCAAACAAAAAATGTCCACTCAAATTCCTGCTCTTTTTAGCCAAAAGACAGGAAAGAGACAGTCTAGTGAGATGGAAATTATTAGACAATAATTGCTCTACTACCACCAAATACCAAAGAATTCATGCCTTTGAGTTATGGTGTTGGAGGAGAATATTGACAGTGCCATGGACTGCCAAAAGAACCAATAGATCCATTTTGGGAAGAAGTGCAGCCAGAATGCTCCTTAGAGGCCAAGATGGCCAAACTTCATCTCTCATACTTTGGAAATATTGTCAGGAGGGACCAGTCGCTGGAGAAGGATATCATGTTTGGTAAGGTGGAGGGTCAGAGAAAAAGAGGAAGACCCCAACGAGATGGATTGGCCAAGTGGCAGCATCGATGGATTCAAGTGTGGCAACAGTAGTGAGGTTGGCCCAGGATCGGGTAGTATTTCATTCTGCTGTGCATAAGGTTGCTATGGGTTGGTACCAACTCGATAGCACCTAACAACAACAAAAACTGGAACCACATGTCCATCAACTGGTGAATGGAAAAACAAAATGTAGTCTATCCATGTAATGGAATACTATTCAGTAATTAAAAAGAATGAAGTACTGATACATGCGATTCCATGAATAAACCTCAAAATATATTATGATGAGTGAAAGAAGTCATACACAAAAGACTATGTCGTGTATGAGTCTATTCATGTATGTTTTCCACAAAAGAAAAATCTAAAGTAGATTAATGGTTGCCTGTAGCTGGGGGTGGAAATGGCAGTGACTACAAATGGGCACAAGAAATCATTTCAGGGTGACAAAAATGCACAGAACTGGATTGTGATCATGGTTGCATTAGTTTTAAATGTGCTAAAAATCACTGCAATGTGTACTTCAAACAAATTTTATGGTAGGTAAATTTTACTTCAATTAAACCATTAAAAAAACAAACAAACAAAAGAGAGACAATGTAGCTCAATATTTAAAATTCAAACATCACAGAAACGTATAACAGAAAACAATAATGTGCACCCCTCTTCATCTCCCTCCACACTGATCACTGCCTGTAGTTTGGTATCTATATGTCGCCATACAGACTAGTATAATATATATAATAGATACACTTTGCATCTAGCTTTGTTCGCTTTGCAAAATATCTTGATCAAGAAGGATAAATTTCTAATCTGAGAAGTAATACATAATTACCATCACAGCTCTAGAAAACAACCAAGGATCTGAAAGGAGAAATTAGTTCCCATTGCAACAGGAATAGGCAAACCTTGAGGAAGACCTGGTTGTGTGGTTGTGGAGGCTCTGTGTGTGTGTCAAAGGCTGTGGGGGCATGCAGTCACCCTGGGATGCAAGAAGTAGGTTCTACTTACACTTAGAGAGAGATCCACAGTGTTCCCCGCATTGCTGTAGTGATCTACCTCCAGAGCTACAATCTCCCCAGTCTTCATGAAGCCAACCTGATAGAAAAAAGAGTGGTTTCTCAACAGCTCCTTCTCTCCATCTCTCTCTAATCCTCCCCTCCCACTTCAGCTAACTAGAAGAAAAAGAACAGGAAAAAAATTACACTATGGATTTCATTTTTCAAGAAGTTAAGCCATTACTATAGCTAAGCAGGTGAAGAAGAAAGAAACGAACATCTCCTCCACAGACACATTGATGAACTCTTGGCTCCTCCACCTGGATGCATCTCCCCACACTCCTTCTTCCGTCTACCTATTGGCTCTGATTCTAAGAAAAGGAATGTGGATACAGGAAGGTGAAAATAAAGGAAGAGAAGGTAAGAAAGAGACTCTCCACCCCTCACAGAGTATGGCTAGCAGAAAACAATTTACACTTCACATGAGCAAAAATACATTTTCACACCCCTTGCCTTATGAAGCCATCATAGTGCTTTCACAAGGGTTACTAATGAGGGAACTGAACTCCAAAAGATTATGTTACTTTCTTTTGGCACATGGAATTGGGGAACAAGAGAAATACAATTCCTTTTAGGGAGTTAAATCATGAAACAAATTTAGGGTAGGATAAAGGGGAGAGGCTTAAAGTCAGTTCATGAAGAGAGAAGACACCCAGGTTCACAGACCTGGACTAAGGCCTGGAAGGCTATACTGCTGTGCAGACTGGCCATCCATATAAGGAGTCCCAGAGGGTAAGTTGGACACTGTCTAGTACTCATAGTCTGGCAATCTAACAACCCGTGTCTACCCAAGTCCCATAGAAGTTTAATTTCTCATGATAAACTACCAAGTGGTCATTCTGATTTTCAGTTTACATCAGGTTGTGAACATGCTAACATTAAACCATCCTAAGTGATAGTGTTTACTCTACATCTGCAGACAATACTGTTTCAGACCCTACTGAACCACAATGAATTCACAAAAGGAGAGAACACCATTCTGATCTCTTGAGGAGAGAGTGGTCCACCCCTTTATATTGCTTCTCTTGGCCTATTTAAATTTCTCTCATTGTTATTCTTCTTTGAACTTCTATAGATAGTCACACAAAGTAAGAATACAGCCAAGGATCTCTGAGCCTTTCTCTCCAGGTCTTGCCCATGCCAACATAGCCCCCAACATCTAGAACCTTGTATCGAGCCAAGAAGGGATGTCTGCCTCCAGTTATCAGCATGTCCTCATCACGGTCCAGCATGCAGCGTACGGGGCGGCCAGTCCTGAGGGAGATTCCCATAGATTAAACTCCATTGAGCCTTCTACAAAATCCCAGGGCTGGGATATGTACACAAGTTTTCTTTTCCCTTCTGGTATAATGCTCAGTGTCTTAGCACTATGATAACTCCAGGGGGGCATGTAAGACTATGAGGCTTGTCCTAGGGGAGCTTACGGTCAGGCAAGGCAGTTAAGACAGAGACACATGGGTCAGAACACAAAGAATAAATAGGTTACATTACCCACACAATCTTATACCCTAAAAAACAAAAATGGTTACCCTAAGTTGATTCTGACTCATGGTGACCCCATGTATGCTTCATAGTGTTTTCACTGTTTGCATTTTCGGATATAAATTGTCAAACTTTTCTACCCAGGAGCCTCTGGGTGGACTAAAATTTCCAGATTGTCAGCCCAGAGTGCTTCACTGTTTGTGCCACCAACGGAATCCCTCTCCCCCCCACCTCCCCATGCCATACACCAAATTCTGACTCATAGTAATCCTATAGGACTGAATAGAACTTCTCTTTAGGGTTTCTGAGACTGTCCACTTTTATGGGAGTAGACAACCTCATCTTTCTTGTGGGGAATGGCTGGTGGATTTGAATTGCCGACTTATGAATAGCAGTCCAATGTTTAACCCCCTATGCCACTGTTGCTGTTAGTGCCGTTGAGTGGATTCTGACTCATAATGACCCTGCATAGGGTTTCCGAGTAGCAGCTGGTAGGTTTGAACTGCTGACCTTGTGGTTTGAAGTCCAGTGCTGATTCTACAGCGCCACACCAGGAGTCCTCCTTAAACCATGCTCTTATTGTTGTTGTTGTAAAGTGCTCTTGAGTTGGTTCCAACTCAAAGCAGTCTTGTATAGGGTTTCCAAGGAGCAAATGGTGGGTTTGGACCACCAGCCTTATGGTTTGCAACTCAGTGCTTATCCTACAGCACCGCACATGGAGTTCTAAAAATGGAACTGTGAGAATTCAAACCAGGAGAAAACTAGTACAGAAAGAGAAAACCCAGGAAGCTTTCCTGGCAGAGGCAACCTTGTTCTGGGGCTGCTGGGAGAATTCGGCCTTGGAACTCACTTGTGTGCAGCCAAGGCCACTGCCGTGGACACAATGGTGCTCCGAGTCTCCTTCCCACCAAAGCCTCCTCCCATTCTCTTCACTCGGACCAAAATCCGATTTTCTGGAACCCCCAACATTTTGGCAACAAAGCTCTATAGGCAAAAGAAAAACACTTTCATTGAATTTACATAGGCATCATCTGAATTTCTTCAAACCAGCATGCACAGGCCTAGTCACTGTGGGAATTCTGAAACTCCATGATTCTGAAGTTAATCCCCCCTCTCACTGCCATCTAAGCCTTAGTTTAGTGATATTGCAGGCCAGCCCTCAGTAGTAAGTGCACGCTGAACTCTGAATCTTGTTTTTACCCAAAGGGATAAACCACTAGTCACAGCACACTTTCAGAGCCAGAACTCATTCCATCTTGTTGGACCAGCAGTAACTATCATGTTGCATTTAGTATAGAAATAAGGTATATTTGAACTGCAGCAGACCACTTAGTGATCCTTGTGGAAATCACCTTCCATATGACTTGACTATGGCCATATATCTATGGAATGAATATAGTTAACACTTACCAGGCTCTATTACAAGTGTTAGAATTCATCTAATTCTTATAATAACTCTATCCAGTCCCATTTTACTGAAGAGAAAACTGAGGCTTCAAGCTTAGTGACACCAGCTTGTTGGCTTCAAGTTGACATCCTTATACACAGTGTTATCCCTGCTGGGACCAGCGAGATCTCTGCCTTCTCATTTTCCACACTGCCATTCCTGGCCTGCAAGGAGCTCCCAGGTGTCCTCCCCAGGCCCTTGCTAAACAACAGAACCTCTACCTGGGTCTTCATGGTGTTTTGTGTAGACACAAAGAGCTCCATCGCCCCTTCCTCGCCTTTTGGGACAGCAATGGTGCAGTGAGTCTCCAGGTAGAAGTGCTCTTGGCCACCGATGTACAACTCACCTATGGGAACAGAGACTCCACATGGTAAGCTCACTGCTGTGGAGGGCACAGTCTGCTGAGGGAGAGAAAAGGCTCTGCAAAGTGCTCTGGGCAGGAGCCAACTGCTCACAGGTAATTTCTTGGTTCCATGACTGTGGTGGAAAAGGTTGGAGAGGTTTGGTCACCTGAAACCTGAGGACTCCTTCCAACAAATAAAGCAAAACCACATTAAAATGCAACAGGACTAAGCTCTCTTCTAACCATTGTTGTTGTTGTTGTTAAGTGCCATTGAATCAGTACTGAATCATGCGACCTTATGCACAACAGAATGAAACACTGCCCGATCCTGGGCCAACCTCACTACAGTTGCCACGGTTGAGTCCATCAATGCTGCCACTTGGCCAATCCATCTCGCTGGGGGGTCTTTCTCTTTTTCTCTGACCCTCCACCATACCAAACATGATATCCTTCTCCAGTGACTGGTTCCTCCTGACAATATGTTCAAAGTATGAGAGATGAAGCTTGCCCATCTGGGCCTCCAAGTAGCACTCTAGCTGTACTTCTTCCAAAACGGATCTATTGGTTCTTTTGGCAGCCCATGGCACTTTCAATATTCTCTTCCAACACCATAACTCAAAAGCATCAATTCTTCTATGGGCTTCCTTATTCACTGTCCAGCTTTTGCATGCATATGAGGTTATTG